TTTAGTGGGCCATACTTCATTGTATGGCCTGCTAAATTCAATCTTATGTTAAAAAAGAAAATCTTCCCTCTCTGTTCAAACCTAGAGATATAATAAATATTTTGCTGATTTTGTTTTCTTGGTTTGTATGTAAGTTTTGGAACCTCCTTTTTCCCTCGGATTTATGCCCCACACACTTGGGCCCTCTGAACAGAAAAAAACCTCGTCTTTATTATAGTATAGATCTTGAATTCGGTAAATAAGAGTTATGTACTTTTTTTTAATGTGGCTTGCAAAGTGATGCAAGCAGGCTATAACTCTGAGTGGAAAAAAAAAAACCATAACTTAAACTGGTTTAGCAAGAAGTACATGTATTTACCAACTTCACATGGCTAATTATAAAGAAATCTGAGGCTGATATTGGAAAAGACTGGTTTTATTTTGTATTTGTTTTTGCAATGAAATTTTTGTATTTGAAAACAATTATTGTTCTTGTTACCTTTTAGGTGTCTGAGTTACAGAATAGTGGAAGGCAAATGCTTCTGGTCACAAGTGGTGCTGTAGCTTTTGGCAAACAGAAACTTAGACATGAGATACTTCTCTCTCAGAGTGTACGTCAAACACTCAAGCCACAAGATGTCCTGAAGGTATTCTATGTACAACACTTATGAAGTGTAACAACTAGATGACTTAACCCTTAAAAAGCACCCTGGTGGAAAATTTCAGAGGTGTTACCTTGAATCCCACGTCCGTGAATGTTGAAAAAGTTCTGCTTGAATTTTCCAACTTAAACCTTTGTGATTAAACTGTATTAATCCCTTTTTTTCCTCAACTAACCTCATTTTCACCTATTACCTTTCAACCTCTTCCACCAATCTCTTTTGTGCATCTCTGCTGTGCAGAGGTCAAGGGTTGAAGTCCTCGAGCAGACCAACACTCAGGGTCTTTAAATAAATGTGAGAGGAATATGCTGCCTTTTATTATGTTGTACACAGGTATGTCTTAAAGATTTGCAGACTCCAAGACTGTGATCTAAGAAAATTGAAGGGAGCCTAGTGCTCTGAAACAGTGAAATCCAGGGGAGTCTAGTGCTCTTAAATTGTGAAATCCAGGGAGCTCAGCATATGCTTTTTGTGAAAAAGCTAAGATTCCTGAGTTGCCCAAGAGCAAAAGTAAGGCACCAGGGGCCACGGGGCACTGCTAGACTACATCCCTGGATGCATTAAGTCATGCACAGAACAATGTCTTTTTTATTACCATGAGCCTTATCAGGTCACCTACTAGAACTGTACTCAATATTAGCGATACTGTGTTCTTGCAGTCAAGGCCTTACATTGAACCAAGAGCATGTGCTGCTGTAGGACAGGGAGGATTGTTATCACTCTATGAAGCTATGTTTCAGCAGTATGGCCTGACATGTGGACAGGTATGTTTTAAAGATTATTCCAAGAGATTAGTTTGCTTCAAAATTCAAACTTAGTGGCATTAAGGGATTTTTTAAAGGGGGATCATTTGGTATGATTCAGAGCAGAAATGATGAGGAATCTCTGATCACAAATATCCAAATTTCACTTTGTCTTGTTACAAGTGAAGGAACTTGTTAATTCAGAGAAGACCCAAGTTTTGTCCCTAAGAAGAAAAATTAAAGGCAAACAAAGATCTCATTAGTGACTATGTACAGTCAAGTGTTTTTATGGTTTCTCAGTCTAATTAACTGTTTTTCCCATGAGTTCCAAAACAGAATGTGTCCTTACAATTGTTATATCTGTTTTCAATACAATGTGAAGCAGAAAAGTGTTGAGAATAGAGAAAAATATCAATTAGGGGATTATCAGTTGACCAATACCAAATTCTCAAAACTGACATCATAAGATTTTTATGGGAAACTTCTATTGAGATCCTGGGAGTGAAAGGTTTAACTTAATCTCATAAATTTCCAATGATCTTGCAACTCAAAATCACCAATATGGCTGGTTGGTTTAAGCTCTGCACATTTCATAAAGAACCCTACAAACCAGGAGTTATGATTTACTAAAATAAATTGAAATTTATGCTCTAAGAAAAAAACCAGAAACAATACTCACATGCAACCCTCTTTAGGGNTTTGAATCTACAATTGGCAACAAAATTGTTGACACATTGATCTTTTCAACCCCTAATTGCTTCAATTTTATCTCTTTTGCCCTTGCTAAGTTCACCATTTTGCCCCCCCCCCCTAAAAAAAAACAAAAAACAAAAAACAAAAAACAAAAAAGCAATGTTGTATCGTGATATTCCATGAACATTTGGCTAACATTGAATGGAGGGGAGAGGGGGTGTGTTACTTGTTTAGAGTGCGATGGAAACAGGACTGTTACTCTTCACAAACATGATGTGTGAACTAATTTGAATGCTGATTGTAGGGGAAATACTAGATTGTGTACGTATTCCGATTGTTAAGGTCATGGTAGACTTGAAAAGCACAGTTGTAGGCAGTCAGGCCAACTGACATTTTGACAACCTTAGCAGAAGGTCATCTGATGATCAGAGTCCTTCTCAGGATTATATTCACCTGCATGATCACACTACACTGTATCGAATAATGATCATTATTAAAAACTAGATCATGGGATAATGCAATTCAAGACTTTTTATTGGCTTAGCCATTATGGTATATCAGCCAATATACCATATCTACAAATATGGCAAGCGTGCGTGTCAGTTTAACATTAAAAGGGAACTAAAAATTTAGTAAAATTTAATTATATAATTTAACGTTTTTAATAAAACAATAATTCCACTCACGCTTGTTGGATATGAGATAATTATAGCCAACTCGGTGCTACGCGCCTTGTCGGCTATCATTTTCATCTCATATCCAACGTGCCTGTGGAATAATTGTTAAATAATAATGATCCAATAATCAAATATACTATAATTTGATTTGGACGGATATATGTACTTTCATGACTCATTGAAATGACACTCACAGTTCACGCATTCAATTAAATTTGAACATCAAATATGGCAGAATTTGCTTTAAATTGGATGACAGAATTCTCTTGAGCATATAGATGGACTGCAACATTACTTACTGCATTTATTTATCTATAAGCCAAGGGATTTTTTTTACAAAATATTACGAAAATCTTGAAAATTTGAGCCAGAGAAGGGTAATTCTTGGCTTATAGCCAAGTGTTTTTCTAAACGTAATTAATTTTTTTTGAAACAGCAAATTCAAAGGAAACATAGATATATTCGTCTATAAGCTGAGATATTGCATGCAGAAGTAAATAACAAAACAAGTTGAAGTTGGTCATTGACTTTATTTATGTGGTTGCTTCCAAAGGAGCGGTTTGTAGTTTTCGGCATGTAGTAAATAGGGCTTACTGATTGCCCTTAGTGTCGGCATGGAATTCGTTGTCCATCTCCTCCTCATCGGCTAGTTCTGCCGTTTCTTCCGAGTAGATTTTTTCATCTTTCGTGCCTTTTAGAGTATTAGAGATTCTGAAGGTTTTGAACAAGTGTATAGATCTTGTGAAAGTGTTTTAAAAATTTTGAAACTGACCAATCAGAATTGCCCATTCCCACGATTGGTAAACAAACTCGTCACATGTTACGGTGTTGAAATTTGCAATCACCTAAAAAGAAATTTTATCTTGGCTTCTCTGCTCTGTAAACCAGTCAAATAATCTCTCATCCAGCCGCAGATATTTCAGAGTGTAACGGCCCATCGTTGTGCGTTTCACTGACATCTCGAGCTCTCCATTAAAGAGATTCTCTTGATCTTTCCTCTAGCGACTCACTGATTACTTACTCTCTGGTTATCTCGGAGAAATACACTCTAAACTCTTTTCTGTTTCAAAACTTTTGCATTCATTTCAGTTTGTTCAAGAATGGAATTCTCTGAATATGGTCTTGGCTCAGAGCGGAGTATTTTCAATTTACATGTTTAAAGAACCTTCCCGATTAAAACAGACCGATTAGTTTACAGTAGGCTCTTGGCTTATAGCCAAGTTCGGCTTGTAGATGAATAAATTCGATATTATTTTTGTCTCTTTGATTGGTTACTTTTTATTTTACATTAGGTGAAAACTATCAGACCTCCACATTCGTATTCTCTACTCTAGACAAATTTAAGAGGATTTTAGTTGAAACAATTCCCTTAGTAGTGGCATGTTTTTATCTGTAGAACAAAGGAGAACACAAATCAAACCACCAGTTGTTTGAAATGATTTTGAACTGAAATTTATTTTTTGATAATAACATTTATACTGTTACAGTAGCATCTAGGAAGGTACATGTAGCTCTTAGGTTATGTGACAATGCTGTACCATACTCTCTGCCATTATATGGCAACAGGCCACATCGTAATGATTGTCAGACAGAGTGAAACACAAAATGGGGAATGAATTTTCTAAGAGAGTGAGAATTTGCCAAAAATGTTCCTTAGTAAAACACTCACACAAACTGCTAGTCACAACAGGATTAGCAAGAAGAGGCAAATAAACAATTTCTCCTTTCATGAAATTACCATCAATTGGCTAAGATACTTCTAGGTTTCAATATTAAGTTTTTAAGAACAGGTTATTACAAGTTATCTGTCTGTCTCCTTTAACATGAAAAGTTAGTACTTGATCTTGCAGCTGTATGTAGTCTGTGAAATATCTCTCCTCTTCATGATTCATAGCAAGAACTCTATTTCAATTAAAAAATTCCTGCTAAGCTCTTTATTTTTTGTCTCCTAACTTTCAGAAGCATCAAGCCTCAGAAGACTTTTTTTTATTTTATTGTGATTATATTCACTGAGCTCTGAGTTAGATTTGAAAGTTGGGATCCTATTATTAGACAGTTGGTAGTTGTGACAAATTTCCAGCCTGCAAATCTCATGAGCCTGTTTAAAGCCAAATTAATTACATGTTGTACTTCCACTATTAGAAACTCAAGGCAGCTGTGTCAGTAATATTTTTTTTCCAAATTAAAAATATGATGTCAATTTGAAATGTGTGGCGGGGTCTTTTTAGCAATTTTTTGGCGAACTCCTCCTCACAGCATTTTCTGGGTTAGGAAGTCCATTTCTCTTCCACTGAACTGATTAGATCAAAATTAATGACTGACCTTTAATTTGAGCTTTTGGAACTGAAGAAGCCATTCTACTATATACATATTAAGCAAAAATTCATTTCAAATTTTTTTGCCTTTACTTAGGTTGGCTTTCCACTCTTTTTCACTTGCTTGCATCAGATTAATGTGATTGAAATTAAAATTGGTCTTTAAAAGGTGTCATTCATTGGTATGAATTGTGCTCATGAATTGAAAGTAATTTAACTTTTTCACCAAATAGAGATGTAAGTTACTGCTTTTCTTCAATCATATTTAATTTGCCCTTGAGTGTTTTCACTATTTGTCAGGTGCACTTAAATGTTTAACTGCCATTTACATCTTAATTTTACACAATTTGCTGTGTTTGCCCTTTTGTTATAATCACTCATTCCACCACATGCTGTTAACAGTTATCTTTCTGCATAGGAAATTTCCTGACTTGTTTATCATTTCAGAACATTCATGAAATGTTTTTCCTTCTGTTTTTCAAAACTTTTTCAATATACGAATGACATTAGATTTTGTTAGACATTTAAGAATAAACACTAGCGAGAAAAACACACAACGTTTCGATGACTCCATGTCATCATTCTCAAGTGAGAAGAGAATAAAAATGAATAGTTAATTTATACCGTACGAAGGTGGCAAACGTAAAAAGTTTAAAATATTTAAAATATTTAAATAAATAATTGCGCGTGTTGAGTTCATAAATGTAAACTATTAAATAAATAGTTTCGCGCGTATGGAATCCGATTGTTTGTTCAAAGAGGGCTTCATCTTCTTTATGAAAAGCATTTCATGAACTAAACAGTCCAGTTTCCCGGTGCACTTTTTAAGTACGTTGAAATGCTTGGTCAGGTCGCCGATGGTTTGTAGGCCGTGGTCGTTCTTTAGATGTTTGCCGATGGCCGAATTACGGTGCTCATTAATACGTTGATGTAAATGCCGGCTGGTGTACCCGACGTACTCTGCATCACACAGATCACATTTATAATTATATACAACGCATTGTTGGCTAACTATAGGAGGTTTAGGCTCACGTACTCTGAGATCTTCACAGATTTTGCGACTCTTGAACACGGGATGAAGGGTGTGATCGATTTTGTTGCTTAGATCTGATAATTGCCTTTTCACTGCGTCAGCTGACTTTTGATCTTTAAAAGGCAAAACCACTCGGTGAACAGCATTTNCTTGAGGTAAACTTCAAGGAAGGCAGACAGCAAAACTGAAATTCTCTGAATGGCAAGGACTTAGCCTACAAGCACACCATCAATTTATAAGTGCTTCAGCATGACTTTGCCAGTGGGATTGTATGAGGCCTTGAGTTATGCAAGGCAATGAGAAGTCTAAAAAGAGATGTAGCAATGTTTGTTAGTGCTGCAATCTGACTAGCCAATTTGCCATTGTCGATTAGAGTACGTACAACACTGCTCCTGCAACAAGTCACACACGATATAATTTTTTTTTTGACTTTGACATTGTGGTAAAAAACAAAATGACAGTGGTATAGTGCAATGTGTAATCTTACATGTATCCACAACACTATTCATCATCACAGTGATCAAAATTTGTTGACAGCCTTGTGAGTCCACAACATTTTGACCACTGTGATGACGAATATCGTTGTAGATAAGAGTATACATCACACTAAACCACTGTGGATTTGTTGAGCAGACAGCTTGCTTTGCTTAAAGCCTTTAACTTACTCATGGTTGAAGAAATACATGGCCAGAGTGCTGACAACATGAGGGCCAGAGTGTTTGCTGGCTTGTGGGGTCTCTTCTGCTGTGTGAATGTTGATATCTTTTGGAACTACACAACACTGAGGTTAAATTGGTAGAAATCATTTGTGACCATTAAGCAGTGATTGTTCCCATGGACATATGATAACATGTTTTATAAAGGAGAAAATCGATGATTTCTGAAGAGACCAGATAAAAGAGGTTTCAGTGATAATTTCTGTTGGATATTAGCAATTGGGATATGGGGAGCATTGGATGAAAGGCTGTGCTCTGGCGTGGCCTAGTAGTAAAATGTCACTGTCTCAGGAGGGGTTGGGTGAGGGCAAAAGACAGTATAAAAAATTCTTAGATACACACATCCATTGCTTTAGTTTCAGTCAAATTTTCTTTGAGTTGTACATCTCCATTTTGTTTTTGTGCGAGAAGGGGCAGTATGCACCAATCTTTCCACTTGATACCCTATGCGCAAGTTGTTCTTCATATTCAGTCTTGTTTGGTCTCCATTATGCTCAAATTGCAAAAATAGGCAGTGTGCACCACCCATCCACTTGATCCCAGTTGCATACATGTAACGTATTCTTCTAAGATTCTCCATATACTAGGGGACTTGTTGGTAGCCACATAATGAAGTGGAACTGAAAATGATTTGACAGGGTTGTCAGAAAGCTGACGAGTAGGCTACGTTATTGTGGAATTGGTTTCCTGTCCTATGCCAAAAAAACCAAGAAATTTGTCCAATTATATTTACAGAGTAGCCAAAAGACATTAAACTCATTATTATAGACAACCTAAATGAAATTTTGGTGAACAATTCAACTTCAGACAAAGTTTTATGTAGAATTTAGCTCAGTGAGAATGTAGTTAAAAGCTAGACAATAAACTTTTCTAA